AGAGGAAAACCAATGGCTAATGAGCATGAAGTAGTCTCAGTTTCATGAATACATAAGGAAGCACATATTGAAACAGATGTAGTACTCAAATGAATTTTAAAGTTGATTTTTTGATATCTTTTAAAATTCATCAAGTATTATTAAAGATGTAGAAAAAAGAGCCTTCAGATAGTTTATATGGAAATGCAAATTTTGTAGAGCTTTTTTTGACGTGTCTCATATTGTTGAATATGCACATAACATAGTCTTTCACCCGATAATTCCACATCAAGATATACATGTATATGTACATATGTATATGTATATGTATATATATATGTACGTATGTATATATAATCTTATTTGTGTGTCCTTTCTAGCATCTGGGGTGGGTTTTAGTTTTATAAATTCAAATATTTATGTTGAATAGGACTTTATGACAGGTACTTCATTCCATATTAAGTGAGCTCAGGTCTTTTACTTATTAAAGGGTAAGTAGATATTAAGAAGCTGAAAGTATGGGCTTTGGAGTTAGACTGTATAACTTTGAGCCCTAGCTTCACCATCCTGTTACTTCATACAAAGAATTTATCCTTTCTGTTCCTATTTTCTCATGTATTAAACTGGGGATTACAGTAACTACCTGATAGGTTTCAGTGAAGGTTAAGACTAATACTTGTTTGGACTTTAGAAGAGTGCCCCACATGTCATAACTACTGAGTATACTTGTATAATTGCACCAATTTTACTTTGTTCTCTCTCTCTTCCTGCAATGCTCTTAGTTCCTAAAGAGCAAGGAACCATATCCTTCCTGCCTTCCTCGTCTACCTTTTGATACTTAGAAATCATTGAATAAGTACTAGTTGAGTGAGTAATTGAGCTAGAGAGCCTTTTCCTTGATGCCCTTATTTGACATTTTCTATACCACATGAAACCAGTTTTTGAGTTTGTGTCAACTTTTTTGGTTGCACCAATATACAAATACTTATAACTGATTTTTCCTATTTTAAAAGGGTAAATTTGATCTAAAAAGTGTTATTCGGGAATTTTTCTGTCTGTCCTTGGTATAATCAGTGTTTATGATAATATACCCTTCTCATAGAATAGGAAGCATGCCAAACAAGATTTTCAAGGTCCTTTTTTGTTTTGCAGTTTGGTCTTTGAAATAACTTTTTATTATTCTGTCTTCAACTCCTTAGCATGACATATGTTATATATGAACATGTTCTCCTGGATTTGCTATGCTATATTCATTCTATGAATGAATCCTAAGAAAGGTAGGAAACAAATGACCTCTTGTAAACAGGCTTTATCCCTGTCATGATGAGATGCCTAGTTAACTGTGTAAATACAGGGTTAATGGAGTAGAGAGAAAAGCTGTCTAAGGGAACAAGGTTAAATTAAGGACAAAATTTTACATTGAACCAAGATAGTTTCTTGGGGACAAATAATAAAGGGTTTCCCACAGTCTTCCTTTTAGACTTCTATTTTCTAGGGTACCGACTAAATCTCTGTCTTTCTTGAATAACTGAGAAAACTAAGGCCCACAGTTTGACTCAGAATTGGATTTCCAAGGACACAACTATTGAGTATCTTTGCTATAAGATTCCTAATAAACAACAAAAGAGGGTTTCATCCATGTTGGCAGATGTTAGTCCATTTACGTAGGTTCAGAAGAGTTTCTGTGCCTATGGGTCTTTGTGTATTCAGTTTCAGCAGTCCAGAGAACCTTTTATTTCTCTCCTACACGCTACCTTTCCCTTTTCTGATTAATTTTACCTCCTTTGGGTGAAAGGTCATCTGTTTTGATCAGGTCAGATCAGACTGAACCTTCTAAGTGCTAAGAAAACATTCCCAACCATCAAAACTAAATTACTAGGTTAGACATTCTTGCTCTAGGCTCATGTAGCATCCTGTGCTACAGGTATTAGGATTAGCTATTAGTTAGCACTTGTCATACAGCGCTGCAGTTTGGGCCTGTCTTTTAATACTAAGCTGTATCAAAATGTACTCAGAAACTTTTAAGCTAGTATCCATTTTCCCTATATCAAGACCTGTGCATGTAAGAATTTTCATAAACACTTGCATAATTAAGAATGAAGGGGAGGAGGGCAACAAAATGTAAGTGAGTTGTGATCATGAAGACCGTGATCATTCTGTGAGCTGACTACTTTAAATCATTAAATAATTCTAAGGAAAGTCATGGCAATTCTATAATATATTTTAAACATTTAACTGATTGTGGTAGCTTTAGCTCTCTTTAAGAAAAATTTATGGATCTCAGTTTTCATCCAAGACCTCAAAGCATCAGTCAATGGGGATTTTTTTCTTAGATGCAAAATAGCAAAAAACCAACCAAGACATTTCATTCATGAGATGATGATGCATCTGGTTGAAACATTTAGTAGCAAAAAGCAGTTTCTAAACAGTTCTGTGTGCTGTACCTGGTTTATATAATCATGTCCTCTGTTCCCTGACTTAGGGTCCGTTGACACTGTTTTTTCCATGTTCTCAGTTGACATTGTATTTGGAACAACCATTTGTTGTTTAATCTGTAATTGTGTTTACTGGACTATGCTTTGAATACTGTTTCAAAAAGATGACCACATCATCTAGTAGTGTAATTATTTCCTTGTGTAAATATTTCCTTGTTTATACAGTATGTTTTTCATAAGATAAGGTGAAGTGTTGAAGAAAGAGCTAAATTAAGCTGAATTGGGGTGATCTGAGAAAAATGAGAGAGACTTATAGTGGTTTCAGATTGAGTAACATGTCCTCTAGCTTGCTTACACAGAAAAAAGTAACAAAAATATAAATGTCTTAGGAGACATTAGAAAGGAAAATCTTATTTACCATTTAGGATCAGAGTTTTAAACAGCCTGCTGAACTCGTATGTTTATTTTAAATAAATGAGAAAGAGTAGAGTGGGAAAATTGCAATGTGTATAATAAAAAGAGTATTAGGTAAGGCACATTGTCATCTCGACTTGAAGGTTTTAATGGCTATGTGGTAGAAATATCATTGCCACTTATCATGATTCATACAATGTATTTAGAATTCATAAAGTCATATTGCCATAAGGTCAGCTATGTTTCTCTTCTTACTAGTTTTTACATACTTGGAAAGTTAATATATTTTACTTTAAAAGAGATCAAAACTTTAAAGAATAGTTCCTAAGTCAGTAAGCAAAAACACCAGCTCAACTGCCATCAAACGTCCAGAAGGAGAAAGTGGGAGTTAGTGTTTAATGTGTACTAAACTTCAGTTTGGTGAAGTACAAATGTTCTTGAGATGGATAGTGGACATAATCACAGAACAATATGAATGGACTTAACACCAAAAACATTAGACTTCAATGTTTATGAAGTCTATGATTAAAATGATAAATTTTTACCCATATTTTAGCACAGTAAGGAAAAAATGAATCTTCACTTACTGACAGGTGATTGATGTAAGGAAACTATAGGCATGCACATGTTTTTCCTCATCCATTTGGCAAGAGTCCATTCGCTCGGATTTCAGGTGATTTTTTTAGTACTTTTTAAAAAATGGTGTAAGTTGCTCTTGTCCTGTTTTAGTAACAAACATGTATGAAAAATCTGTTTTAGACAAAAAGTTGATTATATGAATTTTTTATTCTGTAGCAGTTTCCAGAAGGAACTCATAGACTCTTTTCTATTCATCTTGCCCAGTGACTATTTTAAACATCTCCCATCTCTCTTTGATATATATATATGGTGAAAAAAAAGCTATGAACTGGGGCTGCCTTTTGAAGAACACTTAAGATAATGGAGTAGAATAGAAAGGAAAACAGGTTTCAAGATAATCAATTGACATGGGGTCTAAGACCTACTTGGTCATTCACTATCCCTGTCACTGTGTGTCCTTAAACATCTGTTTTTTCCAAGCATATAGTGGGGGAAATAATTCTTTCCCCATGTGTCTTGTATGGGTTCAGTGTTTTATATGTTTTACAGATTGTGAATATTTAAGGCAATATTATTTCTATTGGTACTACTATTAATAATTTGTTTCACTAATAGTTTCTGTGGTTTAAAATGAGTAAGACTATAACTGAGGAGTGATGTTCTACTCTGTTTTGACTGAATGCCAGGTTATGTCAGTTTAGGAATGAATACAAGCAGAGAGACTGCTATGATTTGGCTCTTTTAATTTCCCTTACGGTTTCTCTCTTTCAATCTGTGACCTGAGCAAGCAACTCCCTCAAAACCCCTTGAAGACACATTGAAATATATTCAGAGAGATAGAGGTTAAGTTATTTAAGAAAATGTCACCCTTAGGTTAAATTCATTTTTTTTAAAAAAGAAAAGAAGTAACACATGATTATAGAAGAGGGCTGAACATTCATTTATGAGAAATAAAGCAGAAGTTGTACAATTGCCTTGTTCTCTAAATATTTGCTTTGATAATGGTTAGAGGATGATGCAAAAATGTATGTAATATCTTTACTATAATGCAAGTCACTTATGCTATGGATAATGAGGATGTGAATTACATTTTATTAAAGGGAAGGAGTTACAGCTGTATGTTTGTATGTTTCCATATTCTTGATTATTTGGAGAAGAAACAGGCAAAGATTCTTCCTTTATGCTGCCTTGAAAGATACTGTTTATTTTCTTGCTATGTCTTTTGTGAAGCATTGAGACTCTGGGTCCTGTCACTCACCAGGTTGAAGTACAAATGCTAATTTATTTCCAGACTGCAGCATTGTGATTTGCATTCCAATCAGACGGCAGAATCGCATTATAAATTGCTATCCTGTTGTTCCTTATCTAGCATTCCTTCCTCCTTTTATCACCCTATTCATTCTCTAATAATGATCCTAAAATATTTCTCTTTATAAAATTCCCATTTGAGATCAGCATTTTTTCTTTGTGGGCTAAAATCATAATAATAAGTTACAAAGACATCAATAGATTCTTTTTCCCCACAGTAGTTTTCTCCCTTTCATGTAAGAATCATATGGCACTGAGTACAGTACTTAAAACATGTATATCTCTCAGTCTTAAAGGCTTATACGTATTCTTTTGAAAACCATGCATGTATTTCTTTTTAAATCTGAAAGATGTGATCTTACAGGCCCTTTCTTAATAATAACCTTTTACAGATAAACCCTGAGATAGTATAATTGCATTCTTTCTTGGCACCTTTAAATCAAATTAACTAGACACAGTGAGGAGAGAAAAGAAAAACGCAGTTTTGCATTGAATCTGACTGGGTGAGAAGCAACTGTTACAGCATAAAGAACGGACGGGAATTTGGGCTTTCCCACTTTGGCAGCAAAGGGGGGAATTATGGGTTGGTGGTCTGCTTCATGTTAGGAGGACACCCCTCCATCTGTTCACAGCTCAGCCTGTTTCTAATTTAAAGCCTAGGTTTCAATACAAACTTCAATTTCTTTTCCCCATTTTAAATGCAAAGCAAGGCATATGAATCATAGTGTCTCTGCTCCTGGAATTCAGACCACATTTCCCCCCAAAATTCTCAGGCTATTTGCTTGAATACCTGCTTACTGTGGCACACAATGGGCAGCTTTGAGAAGAAAAATTGATAATCTTCACGGAAGAGTAATTTGAATGAAATTACACTTGACAGCCAGTCTCCAAGCAAACAAGAGGAGCAAGGGAGCCTTAGCTAAGCTCCAAGGACTTGCCCAAGCCACTGCTGTTGGAGCTTCCCAGGGAAAAAAAATCACCAGTTTCAACATCTAATTGAGCTTTTGATTAAGTCCGTGTACCAGAATCTACTGAAGAAAGGTAGCCATGGAAGAGAATATGGAAGAGGGACAGACACAAAAAGGTACTGTGCTAAAACCAGTGTTTATTTGTAACCAAGTAATTATTTTTGCTGGTTTTCTTTAGACACTTGCCAATAAAGCTAATGTTTCTTGGAAGGCATTTTTTCCCTTTCTTTTAGTCTGTTCCTTACTTGTAGCAATGTCTGGTCTGAATGTTGTCATTATTTGAAAATCTTTCTGATACAAGTATTCAAATGCAGAGTCGAGTGTTAATAATGGTAAGAACATTGCAGTATCTTTGTGAACTAGTCTTTTTAACTGTCATTTATTTCATGTTCTCATGGTTGTCGAGCTCAGTCTAAGGATTCTTGGTTTGAGCCACAAACAGTATTTGGAGCTAGTTGCAGTTAAAAATCTGATGATGTAACCACTATTGATACCTTTGCATGGCCATCTGATAGAACAAAGACCACAACCATTGATTATATTTTGGTTGGTGTGCATTTAAAAAAAACCCTTTTTAAATTTTATTCATAGGGATACAGTCTAGTTTTAATGTAGATGCAGCAAAAGTTCATATATTTTCAGGGTGCATAGTGACGTTAGGTTTTCTATTCTCTGTGATTGACCATAATCAACTTCTGGCTAATAAATATTAAGGAAATTTTCCATGCATTTTTAAAGCTCGTATAGATGTAACTGACTGGATTAAAGTGAAATTGCCATTTTTGTACGTTAAAATTTGTCAAATATTGTCAATTTCAAATGATTCAAATACCTGTAGATTTTTTATTTTTTTTTTAATGTGTCAAGTGGTAGCTCCAGAAGGAATTGGCTTTCACCCCATCACAAGCAATGTTTTCTCTCATGTCTGCTTTCAAGCTTATGTAATGTTAAGGAAAACACTCATGTTTTCTAATGATTGAAGCAGTAATACAAATATTATTGCATAAAATTAGTATTTAAGAGAAGTATGGAAAAGGTTTTGGCATTAAGGTCAATTTTAAATGCATGTAAGTTTTTTTTTTTAAATTATATTTTACATGGATAAAATAGGCAGTTTTGAAGTATAGTTTTTTATGTATTAAGAAAGCTGTGCTGGGTCTTTTCTCTTACAGACACACACACACACACACACACACACATATAACCAAAGACAAATGATATTAAATATATTAAGCTTTTATTTATGCAACAGATAAAGATAATAAACAGATCACCAAAATTTAGTCATTATTGCCCTGGTTAATGATATTCTGTAATAAAAACACAATAACCTACATAGTTATGATAGAATCCAGTTTTTAAATTTAAAACAAAACACTTCAACTACTTTTATTATATACATAGATAAAAGGTTCATTAATGATTTCAAATGGCACATTTACCTAGTAATTTCTGTCCTTATAAAGCCTTTCAGTGGACTATTATTTTGATGAATTTTAATGTTTTTAAAGTTCATGATACTGCTTCTTGGCCAATGGATTTGTTTAAGGAAAGACAAGCTGATCATTTTAAATAGAGATATAATATTCATTAAACTAAATAAAACTCTGAGTTAATCATGGATTAACTCAAATGTGTCTAAGCAAGCCTTGGTTGATGCAGGAGCAAGAAAAATGATGTAATTAGTTGTGATTTTTTTCCTCAGGTAACACTGAGAATCTTTCTTGGGGGTGGGGACAGCAGAACTATGGAAGGGGAGATTTTGCCTCAGTGGGTTTCTCATCATTAAGATGGGTATAGGTAAATAAGGAACAGTGGTTGAAAATAATCTTAAATCAGAAAAAAACTCTGTGGTGGTTTGTAAGTACATAAAGCTTTATAGGTAAAACATCTATAATTCAGCTTTGCTTTTCTTGAGAAAAATGAAGATTTAATTCTCTTTATTCCTGACTTTTTTTCCTCAAGTATACCCTTCACAGCTGTCAGTATGTTTTTTCTTAGAAAGTTACATTTGAATATAAATGGTCTTTTTACATGCATGTGGTAGAAGCAACAATATGAAATTTGTTTTTATCTAAGTTGGAGGAGGTACTTGATAAACAGATCAAAACATCTGATATTTTTCAGAGTCTAGGTGGATAAACTTAATGATGCTTCTACTTTAAAGACAAGCAGGACTTTGTGTTAGTCTTCATCTTGATTTTCCTAAGATTTGTTTCAATAATAACTCAGATACCATAGAGTTTGCTTCTATTTGAAAGATGCTTTCTAGCCTGTTCTTACAATTAAATGACTTTTTTGCATTATTTAATGATATTGTTTCTTGACAGTCTGTTTAAAGGAAAGATTAACTGATTTTTTAAAAAAAATAGATAAAGAACATTCATTACATTAAATAAAACCCTTAGTTAAATTGTGGTTTGTCCTAACAGGTTGAATGTGTCTGAGCAAGGTTTACCAGGTGTAGGAATCAAGAAAAATGACGTAAATAGCTGTGATGTTGTGTTTTTATTTTTTGTTTATTCTCAAGTAACACTGGAAATCATTTTCTCATGGTGGTGGGAACAACAGCTATTTTTCCCTGCTACAAAACAGAAAGACTTAAGGTCATGTCACTGTTTACCCACATCACCTTCCAAATTTAAGCAGGGTATAAAATGGAAGGCAGTGGTTTGTTAGGTATATTGAAAACACACATATAATTGATGCTTGCAGACTTAGCAAAATTTTGTAAGAAACAGATTTTTCTTCATAGGAACCCCCCCCACACACTTAAACTACAAAAGGCAGTCCTAATATTTACCCTGATTTAACTTTATGAGTTCAGCCCATGAGAGGGGTTAATTTAAAAGTGTGGGTAACTTCACCAGCCATTCTGTACATTCAGCCCATGTTTTGATGAAAGTGAAATGGTGGTGGTTAATCTGTTGCTCTTCTCATTTCTGTAGCCCTCATCAAAGGTGAGTACCTTATTAAACGGAAGAAATTCTAGTGGTTTAAGAAACTTTTTTTTTTCCATTCTGGCATAATGGAAGTCAATTACTTTAGTTTGTGTTCAAACAAACTAGTAGTGTTCTAGTACTTAAAAAAGGAAAAATAAAAAAATAGCGTGTTTTGAACTTGGCCCTAGTACAGCCATTGTAGCGCTATTGCTGTCGTTAAAAGCCAAGGTTGATGATGGTCCAGCCATTGCAAGAAGGGCTCCAATTACTCTAGAGCAATTGAGAAAAGGTCATGAAAGGATTTTTATGAAGATTTAAAAGTTACATAATTCCTCCCTTATCTATAGTTTTAGTTTCTGCAGTTTCATTTATTTATCATTAACTATAGTCTGCAAATACTAAATGGAAAATTCCAGAAATAAACAACCTTTATTTTTAAGTTTCATTCTGTTCTAGGTAGCACAATGAAGTCTCATGCCATCTCACTTTACTCTGACAGGATCTGAACCTCCCTGTGTCCAGCATATCCATGGTGTATATGCTACCCACACGTTAGTCATTTTGTAATCGTCTTGATTAGCAGAGCAACCATTGTCTAGCCACTATTTATTGTCATATTATCATAGTGCTCATATTCTTGTAACCCTTATTGTACTTAATAATGGCCCCAAACAAAGAGAATCTGTGAAGACTTTCCTTTAAGTGAAAAGGTGAAAGTGCTGAACTTAATAAGGAAAGGAAAAAAGTCTTATGTTGAGGTTTCTAAGATCAGTGGTAAGAATGAATCATCTATATGTGAAATTGTGAAGAAGAAAGAAAAAAGAAATTCCTGATAGTTTTGCTATTATACCTCACACTGAAAAAATTATGGTTATAGTGAGTGATAAATGTTTAGTCCTTTACCTCACTTCATCTCATTACCTAGGGATTTTGTTATCTTACACCAACCCAAAAAGAAGGTTAGTATAGTATACTAAAGTTTACTTTGGTTGTATTGGGGTTTGAACTCAGGGCCTTATACTAGGTGGATAAAGGTGCTGTACTGCTTGAGCCATAGCCCCATCCCCATTTTACCTGGTTTTTTGTTTTGTTTTCAGATAAGGTCTTGCATTTTTGTGTGGGGCAGGCTGGACTGTGATCCTCCTACTTCTTTTTCCTGAATGGCTGAGAGGACAGGCTCATGCCACCATGCCCAGCTTTTTTGTTGATGTGGTCTAGCTAACTTTTTTGCCTGGGCTATCCTTGAATTGCAATCTACCTGCTTTCTCCCTCAGAAGTAGCTGGAATTAAAGGCGTATACCACAATAACGTACTTGCAGCCTACAATAAGGTATTTTCAGAGAAAGGGTAATGAGAAAAAAGACACACACACACAGAAAAAGAGAGCTACAACATTCCCATATTTTAAAAATTATTCAGGTTTATTATCTTTTTTCATTTTTCATACTGGTGGTACAATGCGACAGTTACAAAAGTGCATACAGTATCATAGTTGAAATCACCCCCTTAATAATTCTTACAGCATATTATCATAATTGCTCTATTTATTATTAGTTGCTGGTAATCTCTCTTGATACCTAATAATAAATTAAACTTTACCATAGGCTTGTATATATATAGGAAAAATAGTATCCTTGATTTCAGGAAATTGCCAAGAATTTTGGAATATAAGGGAGTCTACTGAATATATTTATGATTTGTAGAAGTGCAACTATGCATGAAATATTTTGACAAATACTACAGGAAAAGTTGTTATTTAAAAATTTCTGATAATTAATGAATTAGTGAATGCACATTTAGATTGCTAAGCAAAGGTATGCCCATTAGTTTATAGAAAATGTCAATGAAGGCATGACTGAATTAGAAGAGATTTACGGAGAAAGTCTGATGAATCAATGAGTAGAGGAAGTGGTAACAGCCACAGTGTTACTCACCATGTTTTTCTAGTGTAATAAACCAGCAACAGGAGTCTATGCTGTCAAACTTCTCAAACTGAACCTGAGTCATCCACACACCTGCTCTCCAACAATAAAGCCTGGCTTTCTCTTGCTTTGCAACAATTCTTGGTGACCTTCAAGGAACGGGTCATTGGCAGAAGCAGGACATTTGACTTCATGTGAACATAGTCACAATAAGGTCAGTTGACTGGTCTTCACTCATCCTCGGCATAACAC